TTTATATTTTCAGTGGTTTCTACCTTGATCATCATGGAGACCTTTCCCATTAATGACCCCTTAACTCTAACCAGGTTTAAAGGAGAGGACAGGACCAGTTTCATTTTATTTCATAACATACCTCAGGGCTCTACCTCCATCGATCTAGAACAGAGATCTCATTAAAACCTCTATTACTTCAAGTAAATTGCAACATTCCAACTTTTGATAATGGGAATACTTGGTGACTCTGAAGCAATGAGCTCTGTATCATTCTTCCTTTATTGAGATGTCTTTAAAAATAACTTATGGACCTACAGTCATTCAGACTTTATTATTCTTTATCCAGTTACATAACATACCCTTCTTCAAGGTACATGTCATAATAGAATCCATTTTCTATTGGTGGACCATAACATAAACATCCACCGTAGACTCTTTCCATGGCTTCACCCATTATGTGAGCACTTGAGTGCCAATACACCTGAAAAGTTAAAGAAAAATGGGATGGTTTGAGTCTTGGCATACAAGCTGTAAATTAACGTGGTTGCTTGAAACTAGACAGATAAAATTATAAATAAACTCAATACATAAAAATCTAAATTTATAAATCTATAAATTACAGTGTGATTTTATCCACAGCTAAAGTAATTTAAAAGGCTTCTAATTACTAAATTGCATTTGTATCTTAGAAATCATCCAGTTTAGTTGTTTTCAAGCTAATTATATTCAATCCAGCATCATTAATTAAATGGGATGGATTTTGTTCCCTGAAAACAATTGCTACTCACAATGTAACTGTCTTATTGACTGCAATGGCCAGGGTTCTTTGAGTCAATATGCCCATAGCCTCATGTCCCAGATACGATGACACACAGTTGGCTATGGAACATAACTTAAGAATTAGAGTTTTTCCTTAATCAGCCCCAAACAACTGAGGTAGTACAACTTGACCCCACGACATAATGATAAAACACAGGGACAATGAAATCAATAGCGGTAACTTGATTTCATTCAGATGAGGCAGAATATATTCAAAGCAATGTTTCTAAGATTTATTATTAAGATACCAAAGTGATATTAAAAAATTCTCATAAACAATTTATGGACTCCAGAATACACTTGAAAACCAGTGATCCATATCACTAAAACAAAATACTTCATTTTCCCTTTATATGGTAATATAGAGAAATAAGAAAACTTTGCCATCAAATGCAGGTTGATTTTTATGGTTCTGTCCAGATTTGCACTCTTGAGAAAAAACATGGAAATAAACTGTCCAATAAGGAGAGTACTTTTAAGTAATGTTCAAATTTATCTGTTAAATATATGCAACTTGAAGTGCTCGTTGATAGCGTAGAAAACAATTTTTACTTGCTTAATCAATTTTT